ATGGATTGGTGAATCGGTGCATCACTTTGAAAAATTGATTTTAGGCTTGATTTTGGTTCAAAATACTTTGTGAAAATTGTTTCAAAAATATATTAAGTATAAAACACAATTTTACACTTTTAGTAAGGTTTGAAATTGATCTTGAAAGACTTGGAGTAATAATTTGATATTCGATTAATTAAATCGAATATACTTAGAAAATCACTTGTAAAATCTTAAAATTCATTTAAACTTAATTTGTTATATCGAAACATCAAAAATGTTTTCAACAATCTCGATCTCTGAGTCAGAAACTGGTGGTTGTTTCACCGAAATGTCCTAAAACTCGTGAATCTCGATTGAAACGTTTCGATTTCCTTACTTTTGATCTTCTATTCATGGACTTAGGAGCATGTTTTGGCAAAATAAAGGTCAACGCGAAGCAACCTATGAAACCTAGAACCGAGCAACCACCATCTACGGCAACTGACGGCGGTCGACATTTCAGTTTGCTCATTTTTTGTCAGATTCAGAGCATGTTCTAACAAATGGAGGTCAGGTTCAGACTCAAGGAGTTTAGACGAGTTGGTCGAGTGAAATCTAGGACCAAACGACCACCATCTACGACCATCGATAGTAGTGTTCAACACCGACGAACAGGGATGGCCACCTTTTGTTTTTATTTTATATTTTTAAATTATTTTAACGTTAAATAATAGTAAAAAAATAGCACATTATACGAAAATAATAATAAAATAATTCAGAATAACCAAAACAGAAGTAATTCAAAAGTTTAGTGAGTAAACTGGAAAATTTGAAAGTACAATAAGTGAAATAGGAGAGAAAGAGTAAAGTTCAGTGAGAATGATGTATTTTACCCTATTAAAAAATGGATCTTATACATTGAAAAACATTATCTTTGTTTACTCGAGACTACAATATTATTTTTTCATATTATATTATATTTTATATAAATAAATAAATATGATACTTATGAGAATTATTTAACTAATTATATTATATATTAAATTTATTTATTTTTCTCAAAAGTTGGATAGTGTAACAATTAAAATATATCTATGAATTTTCATGTAAATATTTATAATTTAATATTAAAGTTGAACAAGTGAAACAAAATATATCTCGGAAGGATACTTTGGTAAAATATGCATTCAAGTAATATTATATTTCAACAACCATACACTGTAATCTTTTTTTTAATTAATATGGGGTAAGTACAATACATTATATGTTCAAAGATAACTCTCAACCTCTCGACATTGAACGCTCACAACTCTGGTTTTTACGGTGCTTGAACTCGGGTACTCAAATAATAACAATAATTCTTTTACCACGGAGGTCACTTGGTTCGTGCATCATACAATATAATCTACATTCCCACTAAACAAACCAAATAAAGTAATACAATATTTTCAGAGTAATTTTACATTCTAATAATTTTATTCCTAAAGTAATCTTACATGTTGTAAATCAAACATCCCCTAAATATTTGGATGTTATATTAAAAGATTTGGATTCAAATAACAGTTTCGACGCATTCTTTTATACCTTTGCTGACTATAATGGAATTAGTTTTTTATACCAAATGGATCTTATACATTAAAAAATATTATCCTTGTTCACTATACTTTATATATTATATTATGTATTATTATATATAAATTTACTAATATATTAATTATATGTTAAATGTATTTTTTTTCTTAAAAGTTAGTGTAAAAATTTTAAATTTTTTTATTTGTATTTAATATTAAAGTTTAACTTGTTGAAATATATATATATAAGGATACTTTGATAAAATATGCATATAAATAATCTTATATTTCTGAAATCAAACATTGTAATCTTACATTCATACTAAACAAATCAAATAAGATAATACAATATTTTTAGAATAATATTATATTTCAATAATCTTTTTCAAAGATAATCGTACATTTCGTGAACAAAACTCCCCATAACTATTTAGATGTTGCGTTAGAAGATATGGGTTGAAATAATAGCTTCGACACCATTCTTTTATACCTTTGTTGACTGGAATGGAATTGTTTTTTTTTATAATTGAATTACCAACTATATAATTTACTGCAATTTTATTGGCGTCCATGGTTCCATACAACTTTAACTTTACATTCCATGCGAATCATCAATCACCCCCTTTCCATGGAAAATATAAATAAATAAATAAAGTCCTACCTTGGGAGAGGAGGGGTTTGAAATTGATTTTTTTTATATTTTGAATTAAGAACCTATTATTTACATCGTTTCGGTAAAATTATGTATTTCACCCCTTCATTTTGAATAAAGTCGTGCCTGAGAGAGGAGGGGTTTGAAATTACAATTTAATATATGTACTTTTGGAATAAAGGATAAATTACACCTGTGACCATTAACTATGGGAGAATTTCAATTTGACAATCGATCTTTCAATTTTATTAATAACTATTTAAATGATGTCAATCAAGTAATCTTAAATTTGATGGAACTGACATGGCAATTAATAAAATTATTATTATAATTATAAATTTAGTTCTTATTAGTTATATATTCTATCAATTTAATATTAATTTTAATTAATTCAATAAATTTAATACTTCAATCGGTAATTTTTCTTTATTTTAATTTATTTAATATCGTCGTTGATTGGGGGAAATCATTGAAGAATGATAAGGTTAAGGGGAATTGAACCTAGTTTTATAGGGGGCCAACTCTAATTATTGATTTGGTATATTACAATATTTTGCTTGGGTCAATCTATTATTACAATATATAATAATATTTGAGTTGGATTCGATTTCTGAAAGAATTATTCAAATTAAAATTGATCCCTATTTTTGTTAAATATCTCATTATTTAGTCTAATATTATTAATATTATAATATTTGGGTTGTATTGGATCCTTAAAAGAATTATTTAAACTAAAATTGACCCTTATTTTTGTTCAATATCTCATAATTTAATCTAATAATTTTAATATTATAATATTTAATTTAGATTCGATCCCTAAAAGACTTATTTAAACTAAAATTAATCATTGCTTTTGGTTAGTATTACAATGCTCAAAGTAAATATTTCTATTATTTTCTTGTTTCTTGATATAGGGATGAGTTTGGATTTGCCCTCAAAGGCTATCCCAAGAAATACCTTCGCTCCTTTTTTTTTCTTGTATAATTTGATCCACCAATTTGTTCATGACCGATTGAGGTCAATGTGGCGTTGTGAAGATTAAATCGACTTGAACCTTCTCGAGATGGAACAAAGTCATGTGATCTTCAATTGGTGGAGTCATATCTTCTCGACTGAAAATAAAACAATTGTATAACGAGTTTTTAAACTATGTAAGAGCTCCAATCAACATCTTATCCACTTCATATCACTTTTGAGCGTCCAAATTCTTCTCTACCTTGTAGAAGAATCCCTTTTCCATTAAAAAGAAAGAAAGAAAGAATAAAGCCTTTTATTTCTATGGCCAATTACAAACCAATACCTTTATATGAAAATGATGCACATGTATATGATGAGGAGAAAAAACAAGAAGAAAGAAGAAAAGTTAGTACGGGAAAAAGACAAATTAAAATCATAAAAAACTGTGAGTAAATCCTACCCATACGTGTTTTCTACATGTCATGTCTTCTTAAAAGTCCTACTCACATGTGCTTTCTATCCACGCATGCTTGCAACCCATATGTTGTTATATTGAAAGGGAAAAAATCTAATATGTTTAATCATAAGTACAAAGGTATGTGTACTTTTTATATGTACATAAGTAGGTAACAACTAGTGGTTCGAGAATGGCTCCAATCTGGATGGACCCATATAGTTTTCTACATATGATTCGGTTTTAGAATATATACCAAATTGTCCTCACTATCACCTACTAAGGTTAGTAATGTTCTCGATCCTCTCCATTATATGCTCATATAGATCAAGTTCAATTTTGGAAGATGCATTTCCCTATCACTGGGAGCAAATTGCTATCTTGAATAGAGGTTTTCCTCACGAAGGCGTAATGTTTTACTCCCAATTAATCGAAATATAACTTGGGCAAAAGGTAATGATATAAAAGTCCAAGCACAAAAGACACTAATTTAATAAATAACCTCATCATAATTTCATTACGAGAAGAAATATCTGTTTCCTAAATTTTCACAAGTTTTAAAGATCTTTTTTAAAAGACGTTGACATGAGAACGACTTCATATAAAACAATTTTACAAAGCCTTTTATTCATATTGGTCGATCATTGATCAACACCCCTTTTTGAGAGAACAGGTCATCAAGCTATTGTAATCTTTTTTTAGGTAGTTTGAAAAGTATTTCATCTTGAAAAACATGTTTTTAAAATACAAAGTCTCCATCATCGTTTGGTTTAGGTAGGACCGAATACTTAAAAAATCACCTTTTAAAAAAGAATTTTGAAAGTCCAATTTGGGAAAAAAAACAGATAATTTTGGAGGCATGTGTTCAAATTAAGTAAAAAAATATGATTTAAGAGTCAATTACATGTAGGGAAAATTAAAACACCTCATAAAGCTTAAAAATTGGTATGTTTTAAAAATGAATGTTGTCTTATTTTTAAAACAAAATCAAAGGCTGAAAAGAAAATAGTTAGCAATGATCTTAATAAGAAAAATAATAATAAATGATAAATAAACAAATAAATGATGAAAAAATAAAGTTAATATAAATAAAATAATGATAAACATGCTTGCAAACTTAATTGAACAAAATTAGAAGTTTTTTTTTATTTAAAGATCTTATTAGAAAACTAAATCAGGACTGAATTGTCATCAACCTTTAATCTAAAGGCCACAATTCAATAAGACTACCAAGATTAAGGTTAAATTGAAATAGATAAATAATCTTCAGGTTGAAATTTCACTAACCTAGTAAAACTAGGACTAAATTGAAATAATTTAAGAATTTAGTAGCCAAATTTGTATTAACCTATTTTGACTTATCAAGCTAATTGAAAATAAACAAAACCATAGGACCCAATTATTAACCAAGTCATAAATTAAGAAATGAAAATTAACAAACAAAATAAGACCAGCAAATGAGGTTCTTATTTCTTATTACTACTACTATTATTCTATTTTTGAAATTCTAAGACCGTATAGAAGTAATCAATATAGAATGCTTGAAAATGAGGGAAACCGGCGGCCAGTCCAAGCTGCTTGAATTCATCTTCAGTCCTATGCTTTCCCTTGGCCCTGTAAATGGTCATTACGAAAAGGTCGCCTTCCAGGAGCGCCCGACTCCGATGACTGTCGTCCGATTCCTTCGGTAAAACCGGCTCACATGCTATCAGTTTCCCTCCTACGGGGAGTGCCTTGTAACAGTTGTCCATTATCGCCTTACATTCATCATCAGTCCATGTTGTCAAAACCCACTGCACCGCCAAATCAATGTCATCACCTTAAATAACTTGTTCTTCATTTTTCAAAAATATCAAATTATTTAAAAGAAATCAATATATATATATATATATATTAATAATATACTTTTTTCGTATAGAGTGGACACAATTTTCAGAGTAGATATCATTAATAAAATCAATAAATAATGGAAGAAAATTCGAATTTTACGATGGTTACATGTTTATTCTCAGCTCAATATGGATCCGCTATTAAATTGAGGGGTTGATTGAGATTACCGTCTTTCTTAAATTTTTTATATATTCCTATAATTTAAATATTTTTTATTTTTATAAATAATTTGTTCTAATTCATGCGATCTTATAAATTTATTTTCTAACAAAAAAATCTTATCTTATATTGATTTTTTTAAATTCAGCAGAGTAAATTATCTTTAGAAAAATAAACAAAAAGTTTGGCAATGCTTTTAAGAATTAATTTTGAAAAGTATTATTAAAAAGTACTTTTAAACATGTTTTTGAAAAGTTGAACTTAAGATTTAGTGTTTGATATAGATGTTAAAATTTATTTTTAAGAAGATAAAATGTGTTTTAGACATTAAATTATAAAATTTAAAATATATTAATTTAAATTAATTAATATAATATGTATATAAATATATTTTATGATAATATATTATTATTATTGATATCTATAAATATTTTGAAAAAGGTAAATTTTAAATATATAAATAAGAATTAAATAATTGATTTATTAATTTAATTTAAATATATAAATCATATATTTAAAAAAATATCTTTTATACATTCTTTTAAAAAAAAAAAAAGTATTAAAATAATTATAAGAAAATTGATTCGAAACACACTTGTAATTATTGTATAAAGTATGAGTTTTGGAGTGCCAAGATGATTCGGTAACTGCCTTTATTAACTTCATGATTGGGTGAGAATCTCTGTTATATACATATAATAAATAAAGAATAGTTATAAATTATGTTTTCAGTGAGTTAATAAAGGCAGTTACCATTGTTTAAATGGTTAAGAGAGGATGAAGATATTATTATTTTGATATTATTTAAATGTTTGGAAGAAGAATATTCCTAATTATATTAGAAAAACAGAGATTAGGTTGGGCTTAACTTTCTTGGGTATTATTCATAATTAAGAATAAAAAACAAATATCAGACTAACCTTCATGAAGATTGCATCACCCGCTGGAATCGACTCAAACATGTCACCTCCAACGTGGGTCACACCTACAAAATCAACCTCCTATTAATTCATTATTAATTGGCTTTCTAGAAAAAAAATTCATTTATTGTTTAATTTTTTCTTTAATACAATTATTATTATTTTATCTATTAATTTATTAATTCAGATAAAATATAATATAAACTCAATATAAAATGATATTTTCATTCTAATTTGTTTCATTCACATATAGACTCAAAACTCTTAACTTTATTTAAAGAGATCTAATAATTTATCCCAATAAACTAACTAATTGGCGGCTATTGTTTAATCTTTTCAATATGATGTTACTGTAATTCTAATAAATTTTTTTGGCATTTCCTTTTAAATAATGTGTAAAAAAATGCAACTGTATAGAGTGTATGAAATATTATTTTTTAAAATAGCATGTTTGTTATCATATTCATTGAAAATTGTTTGGAACACTATAAATTCTGAAAATCGTCAAAAGTGTCTTCTTCATGTTTCATGTATGCACAGTAACAGTGATAGCCGGTGGGTAGAGGTGACAAACGGATCATTCAGATCGGGTTTGGGTCGGGTCATTTGAGTCAGGTAATTTCGGGTCTAGATAAAATTCGGTTTAATTATGTTCGGATAGGATCGGATCTGGTTCGGATCTAGTTCTGATGTACGGTGAATCGAATTGGGTTGGGTATTAGGTCGGGTGATTATTGGATTGGTTGTTTTCAAGTTCGGATCAATATAAGATCGGTTATTTTTGGATCGGGTCAATACCGGATCAGTTGAATTTTGGGTCGGGTTAATACCAGATCAGTTAGATTTCGGGTCGGGTCAATATCGAATCAGTTGATTTTCAATTTAGGTCAACCTTTAGATCAGGTAAATTCGGGTTGAATTGATTATGAGTCTAATCAAAATCAAGTATATATATATATAATAATTGATATATACTTGTAAAAATACGTCTTCCTATTAGTTAATTTTATCATTTAAGTTTAATTTCAATTCTCAATCGTTCAATATTTTAAATTAAACCATCATTTAAAGATGATAAATCGATAATTTGATATAAATATGATCCTATAATACGTGTTAGAATTTGTTATCAAAATTTAATATTGATCTCGTATGAAAAGTTTATAATGAAAACTATTTGATAAAAAAAATATTTTTATTAAAATTTTTATTTCCAATTATAAATTTAATATTTTATTAAATTTTAAAAAATAATACATAACTTTATATGTTAAGTTTTAGTCGTAACATAAGTAAACTTTATATTATTTTTATTATGATTCTAATATTATTTTCTATGTTTTAGTTGTTTTCTATTATTTTTATTATAAATCTAATATTTTTTATAATAAGTAAGATAAGTAAACTTTATTTATTAATTTTTTCAATCTTACAATTAGATTCCTACTTTTATATTCCTCTTAAACTTTTTATTATTTTATTATAAATATAATATTTTTAATAAATTATCAATTTTATTTAAATTAATTTATTATTGAAAATAACTTTTATTGTTTAATAACTTTTATCAATTTCAATATATTCGGGTTGCTTTTGGGTCGGGTTAAATTCGGTTCGAGTTAATTTTGGTTCAGGTTAATTTCGGTTTCGATTCAGGTTAATTTCGGTTCTGGTTAATTTTGGTTTCGCTAAATTTTGAATAAAGTATGGGTCGGGTAGGGGTTGGATATCAGATCAAATTTAATTATCATGTTCGAGTTAATATTAGATATTGGGTCGGATATATCAGTTCGGGTAATCATTTAGGGATCCATACATTTTCCAATGAGTACCATAACAAACATCACATTTGAAAAAATAATTTTTCATACACATTATTCAAGCAATTTGTTAAATATTTTTTTATAATTATTGATATTTGGTTTGTAAATAATTAGTTTAAATAAAATAAAAGATTAAACCAATTTTATTAAGATACCTCCATATCTTAATGAGATGAAATGATTGTTATAAAAAATTGAACTTAAATTAATTTAGAGTTAGGTTTAATGAGTAGGAATTATAGGTCAAAAATGAAAATGATGAAAAAGAGGGGAAAAATCTGACCCGGAATGATGGGTGCTTTGGCAACAACCTCAGGCAGATCAAAATTGATTCCTTCAACAACCTGGGGGTGTTTATGAAGAATCATTCTGAGGCAATCCCCTGCGCTGCCTCCCACATCGACCAATTTCTTCACTCCTTTGAACCCATCGTAGCTGTTCAATATAGCTCTCATGAACGGCACCGAAACTCCCGACATCGCCTTTTGCATCAGCCCATTCATTTCCGGTTTCTTCCCATAGTAGCTATAAGCTCCCTCGCCGTTCGCCTTCACGAACGGCTCCGATGTCGGATTCAAAACCGCTTCGTGCACCAACGGCCACGCTCTCACCAAAGCATCCTAAAACATTTATAAATCACAGATCGTACCATAATCGATTCAATTTTAAAGAAATCAACGGTTGAAAATAGAAATGAAAAAGAGGGATTGGGATATACCTGGTGGTGCTGGAGCACGTAGGGTGCATAAGATAGACCCTCCGCGTCGGTTACAAGTGTTTTCCCGATCTCGGTGAGGGAGTATTTTCTTTCACCGCTGTTATCGAGAAGTTCGTCGAAAACGCCGTAGCTGGTGAGCATGCGTAGGATACGCTGGAGGTTTTCGGGATCTCCGCCGCTTCCGGAAGGGAGTACATGCGAGAGAATCTGGGCGGCGGAGAGCGGGGTGTTGGCGCCGTCTTGCCAGATAGCGTCGGGTACGTTTAGGCGGACGATGGCGTGGAGAGACATGGGGACGCTTATCATGTTAGCCAATTCCATAATGGCTAGCCTTGCCTTGTTACTGCGCTCTGCTGCTGCTGCTGCTGCTGCCTCGGCGTTCTCCATCATGGATTTGCTGCCGCTGGTTTGATGAAATGGATAAGAGATTTGATATTTAGCTGTTGTGGTGGGTACAAGAGACTGAAACTACTAGGGCACTACATTTAAGTAGTATTAACTGATTTTTTTTTTAAATGCATCTCATATTGTTTATTAATTATATTCTATAATACATAGGTATTTTTTATATAAAAATTATAATTTAGATATTTAATTGAATGATTATTACAAATAAGTCACAAATTATTAAAATTGAAAAAAACATTAATTTAAGTTCAGTATAATAGTTATTCTAATTATTAAAATTTATACATTCTTTTTAATTTAGTAATAACTCAAAATAATTTAATAAATTTAACTATTTATATTTAAAAATGTCATTTATTAATCTTTGTATATGTTAATTATTTATTATTATATAATATCATAAAACTATTTTATCTAATATTTAATAATATGTTTATAATATATATTTTTAAATGGTCTCAGCGGTTAAAGTGTGTTATTTTTCTTAGAAATTCTAGGTTGAAACAATTATATTTACATGATCTGTACATTGGCAATAACTAAGAAAAATTTTAAACATATATTATTTTATAATCACGTTAGACTATTTAAATAAATAAATAATATATATATATATAAAGCGATAAGTTATCATTTATTTTCCCTCCATGAAAAATCATTTAAATATCGCTTTATATACCTTGGATGCACGGTTAGATGTTCACCAAGAAACTTCCAGTGATCTCGTTTCGGTCAGGTTGATGGTTGAAGGTTAAGATTGTATTGTTTTTTTAATTAACTAAATTATAAAAATTATTTATCTATTATCAAACATATAATAGAATGTATTTTATTTTATATTTATTTTCAAGCAGAGACTAACTTATAATATATAACCAACTTTAAAAAATATACTATAAGTTTGGAATATAAAACGTATGCTGACATGTGTGATGTGTATGGAAAAATATTAAGACTAATCTCATGATTTCATTTATTAATCTTTGTATATATTAATTATTTATTATTATATAATTTTTGGGTCGGATTGGGTTGACCGAAAATCTGAACTGACCCGACCTATGCCCATCCTACATGTAATCTGTTATTTAATACATCTTTTGTTTGATCAGATTTTTCAAAAATAGTTATAATTTATCATGGAGAATAAGATGAACAGTATAATTTGTAATAATCTAGATTTTTAAATTAATTTTCAAGCATTAACCTGAATTATGAAATCATCAATTAGTATGTATGACTAAAATCATTGGATAAATGTTTCATAATGCATAAACGAAGAATATTGGAGAAAGCCAAGTAAAGGTGCCTCCTTTCGTTGCTAAGTTCAAGGTATTATACTTAATAATCTAAAATGCTTATTGTATTTTATAAATGTGCATGTTGGTTTATTGTACGTCGGATGTTTTGAGTATTAAGTATGTTTTAATAATTTTAGTGATGATTTAAAGTTAAATGGTGATATTAATGTAATCACCATTTTTTAACTAAGTCAAACCTAAATATTTACAAACCCCAATCAAAACCCCAAGCCCTTTACAAAACAAATCCATTTTTAAACCAGGCCCAAAACCCAACCAATATCCAAAACCCAAAATACAACCCGGCCCCAAGCCAAGGCTCGAACCTGCCCAAACCAAGCCACTCAAACCTAACCCTAAACCCCAACCAACAAACACCCTTTTCTGCCCCAATACCCGAAGAATGACCCATGTACGCCAAACTCACGCTCTATACTTCTGCAAAAAAAAAAAAAAAAAAAAGCAAGCAACAATCAATCATTTTTAATTTTCTTTGTAAAATGGGTATAAATCCCAGACAACAATCAGTAAAATGGGTCATATTCTGAAAACAAAAAAACCACTGTAACTGATTTCGTTCAAAGCAATAAACAAGGTTTTTATCCTTCTTTTTTTCTGGTGTTCAAATAGTTTCCTTCTTTTATTTTTTATTTTTTTATTTTTTCAGTTTTGGATCTCAATAAAGCAAGGTATTTTTTTAGATTTCAAAAAAAACCGTACCCTTTTTTTAGTTTCATTCTAAAACGCTAATTTATCCCGAATATAAGACAACAAAGGCTTTTAAAGTAACAAAAATCAACCATTTTACATTAAAATACGAAGGAAATAAAAAAAATAGCAGATTTAAATCATACCTGAATCGTACGCGTCGTCAAAGTCCAGAGGGGAGCAAAAAGTCGAGCCTTTTCTTCGGGTTTAAGGGCAGTTTTCGACTTTTTTAGCCCCAAGTGAGGGCTTAAGTTGGTAGATGGGTTTGGGGCTTTTATTGAGCGATTTAGGGAGCGACGGTTGGAAGCAGGGCGAGGCGGTTGGCAGTGGGCCGACCGAGGACAGAGGGGAGAGCTTATCCCTTTTTTTTCTGTTTTTGTTTGAAATGAAAAAAAATGTTGTATGTATAAAGAAAGTTAGGGGGAAAGTACACTTTGGTCCCCTTAACTTACACGCGTTTTTACAAAAAGTTCATTGGCATGGACCATTTTCAGAATTTTCTCATTTTCGTTTGTGTTTTGTAATTTTTGGTATAATTCCTTTTTAGTCCCCCTACTTTTAACATGTTTTTACACTTTAATCATGTGTAGTGACCTTTAATTTTTTTTAAATGCATGGGGACTGATTCTATAATTTAACATATTATTTTTAGGCTTAAATAAAATTGAAAAAATTACCTTTAGGTCCCTGTAGTTTACGTGTGTTTTTTTATTTTACCCTTAATATTTTATTTTATTTTGATTTAGTCTTTAAATTTCAACATGTTTCAATTTAGTCTTATTTTATGTTTAATTTGTTCCCTTTTAGTTTAGCAATTTCATATTTATGCAATTAGGTCCTTGAATTTATGTTTATTTTATTTTTATTTTATGTTGTTTTTTTACTATTTTTTTATTATTTGCTATTTTATTATTTTAATTAAGCTTATTATTAATTGTTTTGTTTCATAATTTAATCATTCAATTTAGTTTCTTAGATTAGGTTAACACTCGAATTGAACTTAGAAATTAGGTTGACACTCTAGTTTAATTAGGGAGCAATTCGAGTCGAGTTCTCGAATAAGATGCCCGATTACTCAAATCAATTGCTCGACTTTTAAAATTTATTAATAATTAATATTTTCTAAAAAAAGACTTTAGGTTTTATTTAGTCCTCAACTTTAGAAATTATCAATTTAGATCCTCGTACTTTTAGTCTTTTAGAACTCGATATTTTAGATCTTTGACTTTTAGTCCCTGAACTTCAATCAAAACTTTAATATTGACATAATCAAATAGGTTAAATAGAGCCTCCACTTTAGTTAGATTTCAAACTAGTCTTTTAATTTAGGGAATAATTCAAATTGGTCCTCGTCTAAATGCTTGAGGGACCATCTCGATTATTCGATTTGATAATTGATTAAAATCAAATAGGATTAATATTAGAGCCTACATTTTTAGGTTTGAGCTTCTAGGTTCCTTTAATTTCATAATTTGACACTTTGAGCTAGAAAAAGCCTTTAATTTACCTTAGCTTAATTAAGATTAAATAAAAATTTGTTTGATTGCATTTTATTTTCAAACCTAAGGAAATGTTTACTTATTAGGGAATTTATATTATATCTCCCGCAAGTATGCTCAGGGGTGACAACTGGTGAGTCCCGAAATAGGTCAACATCCTTTTCAAAGACCACATCTTGATTTCTAAAATTAAGGCAATGTCCGATTATTAGGCACAATAGTTGATCTATCGCGTTTATGCTAGGAGCGAATGCTATCGGTCTTAATAAACGAACACCCTTTTCAATGTTGCATCCCTAATGAGTTTGAAATTAAATAAATATCGAACTCAAAAGTTTTGATTTTAAATATAGGGTAATCAACTAGGTACCAATTTTGGGCGCTTGTGGGGATGTTAATCCTTCCCCACGCGTAACTGACTCTTGAACTCGATTTCTGGATTTTCGCAGACCTTAAAACTTGGTATTTTGATAAAAAAATATTTTATTAAAATCACCCGGTTTTCATGATGTCCCAATCACACCTTAAATGATTGGTGGCGACTCCTCACATTTCAAAAATTCTTTTCAAAAGAGAAAACCCCCGAGTCTGTATCGTTCTTTTCCCCGCCCGGGCAAAAAATGGTGTCGACAGCTTGACTACTATACTGGGGATGTTTTATTTTTAAAACAAATTGAGAGTTGAGCCACGAGTTGGTTACCATATATTTAGGATTTTGGAAATTACAAGTTCGATCTTATTTAATTTACGTTTTATTACATTATTTAAAAAAAAGAGATTTTATCTCTGGTTAATACTTACACTTCTATGAAATTATTTAGGACTGTTGCATATCATAGCTCTTAACCGAGCTCAAACTCAGTTTACCTAAGTAGGGAGAAACGTCACACCTCATGAGGAGCATTGAGTTTCCTTGTGTGGGTATGATAAAGTATCTCTGGAAAATATCCTAAGTTGCCTAGGGAGAAACGTCATACCTCACGAGGAGCATTGAGTTTCCTTATATGGGTATGATAAAGTATCTATGGAAAACATCCTAAGTTGTCTATCAAGAATATCGGATCTGAGGTACACTTTTAGTAGTGCGATACCCTGAGTCGAATCCGATTCGTAAGTTTGTAATGAGCCAGAATCGAAATCAACCTTAGCAGGCTGTAAATATGGCTTTTCTACAACTGACCACATGTAGGGAATTTAGTAAACCTACCCACTAGAGCTATGTGGATAGCCTAGGAGAATTAGAACACATTCGGTTAGGACTATTAATTTACTTTGTAGCTTTATTTTCAGTCTCAACTTTGAGTCGAATTTAATTTTTGTTGCTAATATTACATTTCTTTGTCTAATCATTTCAACTAACTTGATTCTTTTTATCTTGTTCCTATTAACATTGATTTCCTTTTGTCTGATCTTGTTGCATTTTTGCATGGACATGATATATCATTCAAAGGTGTTGATCCCTTAAATAACTGATCTTTTATAAGGTTCTTGAAAAACAATGCCCACAACATGT